TTTTTTTTTTTTTTTGCTTTCTAAGAGCATGTCATCTTAGTTCTAAATTATGCTTTCTAAGAGTTAGCATGTCATCTTAGTTCTAAATTATGAAGATTGTTTTTTTTGCCCTCCTAATTGTATTGAGTTGCTTTGAGTTGACAGTCTGAAAGTGCTACTACATCAATTTAAAAATCATAAGCCGTCTTGCAGCAGAGTTTTGATGAGGATTTCTGGGAGTGTCTCATCTTCCAGTTCAAAAAATTACATTGTAGTTTTCAGATTGAAAGTAGCATTTTCTTTATTTTACAATGTCCTATGGAAGTGGAAAACTATGAGCTACATAAATCTCTCTGTTCCAAACTTTTTAGTATGCCTTCTGATGAACCAGTGAAAGTATTCTTTTCTCAGCTCAACTTTTTTATCTGAATTTGCTCAGGTGCTGTCGTCACATGCAGATTATAGCTCAGTTTGACTCACTTTAGGAATTATGCACATGTGATACAACCTGTTTGAGCTGATTATGTGGAAGTGAAGAAAGAACTTTTAAAAGAGATGCACGATTCATTTCAGTTCTTTAATATGAATTATAAAAAAATAAATACATTTGTAAGATATGTTGATGAATCTGAAAATGAAATTATGCATTTTTTTTCTGCCCCCACTTGATAGGATTACATATTTGGAAAAAAAACAGAACCAAAAGAATGAGATGGACTTAATGCAAGCTATTTCTTATATATCTTATATATACAACCTATTGCATTCCAATAATGTAGATTTTTACTAAAAAAGCTTATTTTAATATTTATTTCAGTTAAAGTGAAATTCATCCATAGAGTCATTATACACAAATGGATGTTTAAACTGTCTATACTATAGCCAACAGCCATTAAACATAAAAATTCTGTTTTTTATTTAATTTTTATGAAATCCAAACCAAATATTTATTTTTTATTTTTTGTTATGGCTTACATTAAGAAGGGAAGCTCCTTACGATACAATAGTTTAGCAGACATTGATTTACGCGCTCCATAAGAAGGATAATCCATAAATAGTCATTACTAACAAAGTTTGCAGTTCACAGATTATGTTTCTCATCATATTAATAGAAAATTGAGTGGAAGGAAAAAAAAAGTGTGGCAGATAAAAGCAAACAAGTAACAGGGATAATGTCAGACATGAGAAGCAAATATCTCTTTGCAGATGGGCTGCAAAGAGATATTTGCAAATGGGCTATTCTAGTGTAATATGGTCAGTGACCTCAATATCATTATTTTCCAGGTGATGCAATAGCCCAGCTGACAGATGTAGGATCAGCCATGCAGCCCCAGACAGATGGGCGTGTCACCGTGTTCAGTGATAGGACCGGAATGGTAAAGGCTGCCCGCCTGCTCCTATCATCAGTCACTAAAGTCCTCGTCCTCGCTGATCGCATCGTCATCAAACAGATCATCACGTCACGCAACAAGGTAAGGTATCCTGAAATGAAATAGAACATCACTGAATTTTCCTCATCCACGTAACAAGGAAATCCAGTCCCTTCATTTTCCACATAGGTTAACAGTGTCCCCCCTTTGAAAGAAAAATACTCTGGATGTAATTTAAAGGAAGCAGCACTTTTAGTGACCACATAAAAACACCCTGCCAGAGACCATGTCTCACCCTGGTACCTGGAAATGCTCTTAGGCAGTCAGTGTGATATGGATGTTGTTTCAGACTGGGCTGAGAATGGAAACAGGGACCTAATCATGACTGGTTTGCTTTGTTCGGACAGACAGTCTTCAGCCCTCTGTTCTCCATTACTGGCAAACACAATTAGATCTCTTCCTCCTCTTTACACAGCGCAGATAAAAGCCCCTGCTGCCTTGGTGCTGCCAGCTAGCATATCCTTAACAACTAAATTACCAACTTACATAAACTAATCGTTAACTAAAATACAGCTTTTTGGCTGCCTAACTTCAATATGTACTTTAGGATTTTATCTCTTTGATTATAGCAGCAATCAGCAGTAGAAATGTAAATATAATTCAGTTCTTTGTAAGAGGCTCCCTGTTTTTTTATTTTTTTTTTATTTATTCAGATAACAATGAATGATTTATTTTCTAAGGACTCTGAAATAGAGAAAAAAAGATAAATAACTTCGAAAATGTCTTGACTATTGAAGTGCATTTATATTACAGCTGTAAATCTTTTGGAGTCTGTCTACCAACTTTGCCAATCTTAAACAGATTTTTTTTTCCTGTTTCGCTGCCAAATTGCTCCATTCAGAGCTCTGCTAGATTGGATGGAGAGTGTTTGTGAACACAGATTTTTAAGGGTGCAACAGATTCTCAATTTGATTTAAGTGAAGGCTTTGACTGGGTCATTTCAACACATGTAGAAGCTTTAATCTAAACCAGAGGTTTCCAGCTCCATTGTCCTGGTTCTCTTAGATACCAGCCCTTTTTCAGCATACCTGAATCAAAATGCTGACTCATAAACAAGCACCTGCAGAACTTGATGGCATGCTGGTGAAGTAACACAGATAACTGATCCTGTGTGTTTGATCAGAGATGTCTCTGAAAATTGCAGGACAGTGACCTTTGAAGCTGGATTTGGAGACCCTCTGTTCCAGTCTTGGGTCTTTGGCAGTCTCTGCAACCCTGCAACATGATGCTGCCATTAGTATGTATTACAGCAGGGATAGTGTGTTAAGGGGAGTTTTTAAGTGTTTTCCACGTATTAAACATGTTAGTTTGGTTCGAATCTGACCAGAGCTTCTTTCCACATGTTAGCTATGTCCTCTACAAGTCTTAAAATGCACAACAAATTGTTTTCCTGGATTATTTACAGATTCTCCAACCAAAGCCTTGGATCTCTATAGATTCTCCTGACTTGCTTAAGGATATCCTTGAACCCCTGTCAGTTCAGAGAAATAGTATCGAGTGTTGCGATAGAGGGTCAGCAGTCCCATTTAAGTTTTAGGTGAATGTTTACGTGAAATTTGCTTAGTAAAAACAATCTATGCTTTGATTCTCGTCTTATAAGCTAACGCTGCTCTAAACTTCTATTAAACTGTATTCATCACAGTCTGTGTGCTGTTTTTGAGATTTTTAATGGTTAAATGAGAAAACGAAGAAAAAAGCTATTTCCAAATTCCACCCAATTTACATTTAAGTCATATTTCATGCTGTTCATTACAGACATTCTTAGTTATGTTTTGCAAGAAAATGAATGTAAAAATATATTCAGTTGCAGTTTCAGTTGTATGTTGTACATCCATCATCCAACTTCTATATTATGCAGAATCCTTTTTTTGTTGCCATGTGAGCACTGCATGAAATGTTCTCGAGGGTTTTGGGTACCTGCTAATTACTCCATCCAAAACACATATGTGTAATTCATCATCGCTCTCTGATCATCTCTCTCCTTCCAGGTTCTTGTAACACTCGACAAACTGGAAAGAGTCAGCACCTTCCAGGAGTTTGTGCAGATTTTCAGTCAGTTTGGCAACGAGATGGTTGAGTTCGCTCACCTGACAGGAGACAGACAGAATGTGAGTAGCAATTCATTTATGAGATTCCATTCCATTTTTAATTGAGTCTTAGTTAAGCATCTGTAGGAAGAAACTAAACGTTAAAGTTTAGTTTCCTCATGCAAATGCTCTGCACCAAACTGCACTTTTCATTAATTCATATCCCAGAGATAAGGTGGTAACTCTGGACTTTGAAATCTGCAGCTTCTGCACAATGAAGTGCAGCAAATCCTGAAAAAGTCAATGTCACAACCTTGAAATATTTAGATATTTCAAAAATATCTAAATAAAAAAGGATTTTTCAGACCTTGCTTTTTTTTCTGAAACGCATAAATCCATATTTATTTGCCTCACCAGCCTTCAGCAGCAAAGCACAGGTCAGTTGTGACTCATTCTCCTCGAAGACTATTTACCTCCTTATTCTGTATTGTTACAAGCTGTACGGCACCTTCTGTTAGCTGTCTTCAGGCCATTTACAAAACAAAACATTCAGTCCAAGCCCCAGAAACGCTTTTCAACTTTCTGGGTTCTAAACTTTATTTTGCCAGAGGACTGCTAATCCTACTTTGATGCATACATTCAGCCCCTGCAGCCTAAGCGCTTTGCCTGCAGAAGCCGATGTGAAACACAGCAGCTGCGATGTTCACACTGAGAGGGTGGATCCAACATCTGTCTGTCTGAATTTCATGACCGGCTCAGGTTTTGATACGCACATCACGTCGCTGCTAATGCTTCCCCTCATCATTTGACACTTTTTTGTCATATTTACTCCTACTCATGCACTCCCCGTTTTCACACAGGAAATAGCATGTCCCTTTTTTAAATAAAAGAGAACATCCTCAGCTATTGAAACCAGATGAGCAAAGAGGCAAACATAATGACAGATAATCACATCGTCTTTGTAATATGTGGCAAAGTGCCTGCAGAGGAGTTGGTTCAGCTGCATCTTTAGAATTTAATCTGCATATCTCTATGTAGAAGACATGCAGAGTGATATAAACAGATCTCCTTTTTATATGCCAGTATTGTTTCTTTTGTGTAAAGATCAACCCACAAAGTTGCACATCTGTAACCTGCCGCCAAATCCAGATTATACCTGGGTGACTGAGCAGGATACTTTTTATGCTTCGTGTCCCTCAGACAGAGTTGTTAAAAAGTCTTCACCGAAAGAAAAGACATTATGTTTTCATTATGTTTGTGTGTGGTTGTGGTGTAGGACTTGAAAGATGAGAAGAAAAAGGCGAGAATGGCAGCAGCCCGAGCAGTGCTGGAGAAATGCACCATGATGCTCCTCACAGCCTCTAAGGTATAAGTGGCCTCAGATCGTTTGTCCACCTTAAAAATTGAAGCCTCTTACGCCTTTTCCAACTTCCAAAATGCTTGAATCTGTGCAGTAATTGCATCAAAACACATTAACTAAAAGAGAAACGAATAAGAGGGAAGATTAGGTTGCAGGGGTTGACATTTCACATCCAACTCCCTCCGTAGACTTGCCTGAGGCACCCGGACTGTGAGTCAGCGAGGATCAACAAAGACGCCGTGTTCCACCGAATGCGCTGTGCCCTGGAGCAGGTCATCGAGATAGTCACAGAGGCACGGACCTGTGGGGAGAACAAGGTTCTGCCTACAAGTATCTACAACACCATCAAAGACTTCAAGGTACAAATTCATTTTGTTTAACAGATATCTGCCAGCCTGTAAAATAAAGTCTGGAGATTACTCAGTGTCTCATAAATGTCTTTATATCCATTTAACTTTTTCCATTTTTGGCTTTTATGTTCCCACCTTTGCTATGTCACTCCTAAATAAAGTCTGTGCAGCCCATTAAAATAGCATAAGAACACCTCAGACACTTGTTGTATAATGCTAGAGATTCAAAAAATCATGGCAACCAATGAACACAACTGATGAGTCAGGGATAACGTTAAAAAGCATAGGTTGTAAAACAATATCCCAAGTTTTCAACATCAAACAGAAAACTGTTATCTGAAAATAGAAATGGTGCAACTGCAAACCTAACAAGATAAAGCTGTCAACCTGTGGTTGACAGGGTGTCCAAGGAAAGGCAAGGCAAGGCAAGGCAAATTTATTTGTATAGCACAATTCAGTACAAAGACAATGCAAAGTGCTTTACATGATTAAAATATAGGAAAATAAAACAGAATCAAAGCAAGTAGGAAAAAAAATGCAGAAACAAGAAAGAACATTGAAAACAGTTGGACTAAAAAAAAAAGAATTGAACTAATGATGTTTCAGTTGAACTTTTTAACTAGAACAGTCGAAGACAATCCTAAACAAATGTGTTTTTAGTCTTGATTTAAAGGAACTCAGGGTTTCCGCACGATTAGGGAAGCAACCAAGTGGCCCATTCTGATGCTGGAAGAGCTGCTGAGATCCAGAGTTCAGATGGGAGAATGTGTCAGCAAGAGATTTAGTAGTCCTTTATGAATAAGTAAAATAAAGCTTTTGATGAATAAATACCATTAGAGGTTCTGTTTAAACTTCACCACAAGCCATAGGATCCTGGAAGGAAACATGTTAGGTCGCATTGGAGAATCCCCTTTCAGCAGCACAACAATGTTAAACACACAGTGCCAGAGCTTCCATTAAGTTGCTGAGATTTCTGGAGCTATGTTACAAAGAATATTAAAACAATAAGTGTAAAGATGCAAAACATCCTATAAAGACATACCCTAAAGGACCTCCATAAAAAAAAAAAAAAAAACTTTTTTAGCACAGAACTTGAAATTGAATTCTTGCCATAAATTCAATTTTTTAAAAACATTTTATGAACTAAAATCCATGTAAAATGCATTCTAATTTGTGAATGGAAGGTTGCAAAATATTAAAATATTAAAGCTGACCGGGACTGCAGAATAACAGCTCCTGTATTTATTGCGTCTGCCTGAGCTGAAGCATCAGAACTGTAAAGCACACATTCTTCACTTTGTAGTTCTGTCATTACAGTTGTGCAAATCAACATAAACCCCTTCATCACTCTCATTAATCTGCTCTTTCTGCTCACAGAAGAAAGAGCCTGCATAAAAGCACTTTGAGGGCTTCTCCTAAAGAGAAAAAGAAGAAAGTATTTTAATGACAGGCCTAGGACGGCAGTTGCTTATAATTCAGTTCTCACAGCGTTTTAATGGGTGACTTTAGTAAAAAGTTATGTAAACTGATGATCATTCAGCATGTAAGCAGGTGCTCTTAAAGTCATCTTTTTTGAAAAAAAAAAATGTATTTTTTTTGTTAAGGGAGCGGGGGGAAGAAAAAAATGCATTAGCTTGGTTCTTGCTTTTACAGTAATTATGAGAAAAGTAAAAGGGTTGAATCTCTTCCCCTCAATATATGGGTTTAAGAAAGTGTTTTTCCTTGCTTATATCTGACTCAAATGCTCTCTTCTATACGAACCCTGCTCCCCACCCTGTAGTGTAGTGTGGAGTGCCTTCGAGAGAACCTGCAGTCTTCAACACCGCAGATCATGGCCGGTCAGCTGGAGGCCCTGGTGGAGCGCACAGAGGACTTTACCGATTCGCCCTATACCAGTCACGAGCAGCGGCAGGCCATTCTTGGCATGTGCCAGCTTGCCCGCCAGGACACCCAACAGCTGGTGCACGCCTGGATTGAGGCGGTACGTTGGCTTACAACAATAGCTGTAGATATGTTTGAAAATGAACATAAAATCTGAGGGAGGGAGACAATTTCTTGTCTGTAATACGTTTGTATAATTATTAATTAGAAGGAAAAATGTTTTCAATGGAAGGAAAATGGATCTTAATAAAAACTTGATAAAAATAAGATTTAACATTTGAGTTGGCAAACAGAATCAGTCAGATGGTGCAAAGGTGTTTAAATTTTTTCTCACGCTAAAAGGTTTGCTGCAGTTCTTGAACAGCAAGCTTTAGATACACTTTTTATATCTCCCAGCTATGCCTGTTAGCAAGATTTGTCTGGACCATCAACACCAAGTCAAATTCCTTATAAGTGCAAACCTACTTGGCAATAAACTTGATTCTTATTCTGTAGATTAACTAAGGGGTCAAGTGTTTTTTGTTGTATTTTCTGTTAATGTAAAATTGTATTTACTGCCCTGATTTTCAATGACTAACATTGAACGAGTTTCATTTCCAGACTGAAGTAGATAAACAAATATCTGCCTCTCTTGAAATGTTTTCCCTTAACTTTCCCATTTTCAAGAGAGACTAATAGGAAATGCACCTCAACATCCCACTACAGTCCATTATAAAGAAAAAAGATCAAATGGATAGCTGAGTATCAAAAGATGCTGTTACTCTGACAAAAAGGGGTTTTAAGTATGATAGGTATGTTTGTGATTCTGGTGTAGGATGATATATATATATATATATATATATATATATATATATATATATATATATATATATATATATATATATATTGGCAATATAATGTTTGGCTCTTAGTTTTTTCATCATTTTTGTGTTTCTTTCACAGTTAAAATGTTTCAGTTAATCAGATACATTTTGTCATCAAAGATAAACAGACTACCTACTAAATCAGTTGACAGAGAATTATTTCATGTAGGCAAACAAGACGATCCAAACCAACCTGGCTGTCTGTGGAAAATGGTCAGATCCCAATCATCCTTATTAACCAAGTCTGTGTGCACAATCAAGGAAATTGACTTTGATTCAAATTTCTTATTTTTACACATGAACTTGGCCAAAAAATGCAACTGCAATCCTTCAAGCTTCTACAGTAGCCAACAGTGATTCCAAATCCCCCAAGGAATTGGAAGAGAAAACGTTTTAAATGCTAATCTCAAAATTCTTTCTGGATAAAAAATTTCACATTGAAATAATATTATTTTGCTACTAATTTTCACAGGGTAATTTTTTACCAGTATGTAAACATACAGGCTTTAAACTATATAAATATTAGGAATTTTATTTTCAGGGGACTGCAATTTTATGTGTACTTTTACTTTTAAAAACCTCATTAAAGCTTTGCAGGTTCTTATACTGCAAGATGTGTTTCATTATTTAGCATAGCCGATTCTGACAGCTGTGTGGTGTTAGGCTGGCTGTAGAAGCAGGAGTTAAAAGCAGTGCATCATGTATCCTGCCCAGAATTAGTTTGTCCAGTGTTGCTCAACACGCTTCAGTTCCTCTTAACTAGGCAAGGCAGTGAGTCATTTTACTTTTACTGACAGGTTAATAATTTTATTTGGTACTTTGTTCTGTAGGCCATATGAAACAAATCCCAAATGTAACAACAACAAAAAAAAAAAAAAAAACAATGAATAAAGTTAAGGTTGAAGTTTTTGGTAAGTTTGGAAAATCTAGATTCAAGTCATTTTTATTCTCAGAATGCAGGTTGAACTAATTCCCTCGGTGATAACTAAAATTGGGCTCTCTTAACTTGATTCCGGAGGGTTATTGTTTGTGGTCATGCACCATTTTCTGCTGCATGATATAATCCTATCAAGTATTGCCCTGAGCCATCAGGTCGCTTAGGTAACGCCACACTGTTGAATGCAATACAAAAAGATGGTGGAGCACACTCTTCCTAGGATTACTCTTTGTTGGTATTTGCACATTCTTCTTCTAGTTAGTGGACTGGGAATGGAATATAGGTAAATTACATTTAAAATGTGTATAATTCCAGGAGATTTAGTATATTAGAACAAGTTCCAATTGATTCTCAGTGCCCAAACCTAATTATGAACACTGTTTTACACTGTTTGTAAGTCGACTAACACCACAAGTCATCAACAGATAATAGATTAACTGTACTGGGAAGGAGTTTATTTCCCAAGACAGAAGAGTGTGATTGTGTTGTGGTTACATTTGGGCCAGCATTACAAAGTGCTGCTTCAACATATGACCTTAGTTCCTACCCTAACTACCAATGGAGAAGTGCAACAAAGGAAGGAAATCAATGATTACAATTGAAATGTGTGTTTATGAATAATCTGCAGTCTAAGCAGATTAGATACAATGGTACATTTTGCTCAAAAAAAATACCCAAATACCTCTTTATAGGGATTTATTTTCCAGCCCTCATATTAATTGTTTTCAAACTTAAGATCTTTCTGAATTTTTCGGTTTTAGAAGTGGCTTCTACATTGATAGATGGATGCGTCGTATTTCAGGCATGGCAAAAGTCACGTGCTATGTTAAAAAATATTAAGAACTCAATCCTAACCCTCCGTTTTGGAAACATCTCACATCTTCCATAATCTACCAATAAATTAACATGATGATGTTGTCTATATAGTCCTCCTGTCGATAACTCACAGTAATGTGGATATAACGAGGCCTCTTTCTGTGTTGTTGACATTACACAGGGATAATAAGCTGCAGAGTTGATGCACATGTTGAACCATAATGAGTTTTCTATCAGCTAGGAAGCTGAGGATTCAGAGTGTTTCTGGGAGACGAGAAGAAAAGCAAGCCACTTGCACACCTCAGGGCTTTAGGAATGGAAAATTCAAGCTGTTTCTAGAAACAAATATTTTACATACTCAGAGGTGCTTATATACATTTTGCAGTAATCAACACAGGGTTCCTAAAGACTTCAAAAGTCGTTTGGTATTGAAGGGGTTTAAGTTTCCCGATATTTTTTTTTCCTATTTCAAGATCAAATTGATGTATGCAGTATGTAGATTATTTACTTCAGATATAAAAATTCTTTTTTTTTCTTTTTCTACACTTTAGTCATTTTGGTGTTTTACTTACTGTATTGCAATAACCAACAGATAAAACCACACCTATTCACAAATCAAAATTACAACAACAAATAATTTTTTGGCTGCTAACTTCTATTAGATTAGAGGTTTGAAGTGGAAATCTTTTATATCTTCTGTCTTGTATCGACCAAATACATAATTTATCGTACTGTTCTGGTTTTTTACCTAAGTTAATCCATTTTTATCAAGCTAAACCAGTATTTTATCTGTGGCAGATCTCTGTCCGTGCAGCCTGCTGATGGAAATCACCAGAAAAAGGGCATCCTTTCACTCTCTTTATTAGGCTCATTGCTTTCTTTTCTACCATCTCTCCTGGAACAACAGGGCATGATAACTCACCTGAATAATGTTTTTTTATTCCCAAAGCTCAGTCTGCCAACATGGAAACATGATATACTCTTCTGTTGCATTCAGCAGGAGCCTCCTTGGCCTCGAAAAAGCAACATGCTTGAAAAAGGTTGTGAGCTCCTATGCTTATTTTCTCTGTCAACATTTTGCAGTCTGCAAAGTGAGCCTGCAGCTGCATAATTGTACTGTAGTGCCTCATCTAATCCCCACAATTGAAGGTCGTGTGGAGACTTGAAAAGTCTCCAGGTTTTGCAGCGCTTATATGATAGGACAGCATTTTTCAAATAATTATTCTGCCCAGGTTTTAGATGGTCAATGATGGTGTTAGCTTCCGTTAATTACTCTAAAATTTAAATAATTATATAGCATTTGTGGGTTATATAATTTCTTCAGGCCTTTTGCATCTTCACCAGATTGCTCACAAATGTCACAAAAAAAAGGTCTGCCATTTCATTATATTTGTATTGCTCTCTTAGATTAACATGCAGGTAACCCTGTTTGTGTTTGTGGCACATGTTTATCCTTTTTTCTGTCTATCATCACAGCAGCAGTCTGTACATGCCAAAGAGGCCACAGAAGAGCTGGAGGTGGCAATCCTGAAGACCTGCCAGAGCATCAGTGACCTGAAACGAGAGGTGAGCCGCAGTCTGTCTCCAGAGCTAAAGAACTTCCCAAACAGAGACGTGAGCTGTTCAGCACCTGTAGCTCGGCTTTCTCCTTTTAATATTTCCACACTTCACCTCATCTGCTCCTGTCAACTCCATTTGTCACTTCTGCCAATCTCTGTCTCGGGCCTTGCTTAAAACACCAGCAAGTCGACTTCATCATGCAAAATCATTCATCCCTTTTTCTCTCCCTCCCCCTCCACAAGCTCCATAAGGTCGCAGTGGTCCGTGCCTCCGACTTGCTGAAAGCTCACGCCGAGCATCTGCCTCTGAGGGCCCTCAAAGCCGCTGGTGCCGAAGGGAACCTGGAGGCAGTGGCGGAGTATTCGCGGACGCTCACTGAGCAGAAGGAGCAGCTGGTAGAGGTGGGTGGTTTTCAGCTGCATAGGGGAAACTTTCACAGAAGTCAGTAGCATATTTTTCTTACTCATTGCTTTGATTCTATAAGAATATGTATAAGATTTTTTGTTAGGTCCTGAAACTCCAAACATTAGTACATACAGATATATTCTCCACATTCCTTGTAAAAATAAATGCATAAAATAATCAAATCCGCCTGTTTCTCTTAAGTATAATATATTTTTCATAAACTCAGTAGTACAACTAATAATATCCTTAAACACTTTCGGAAAGATGAATGCATCTGAAAATTTTTTTGTCTTTGTGTTGATTGCATTGCACACAATTTATCATTCACAGTTTTTAAATTGTAACATAGTTAGAATTTCTTTCAGTTTCATTTACATGTAGTTACAATGAACTAAACTACTTACGTTCTTTTTTTATACAGCTTCAGAACTGAAATAGTGTTTACATACAGTGACTGTAATTTACCAATAAATGACATAAATGAAGAGTTTATCAGTTGTAGTTGTGTTTCCAGACCTGCCGGCTACTGTGCCATGTGTCGGGGACGGAGCCTTTAGAGATTACCTGCATACATGCAGAGGAGACCTTTCATGTCATTGGTCCACAGGTAGTGTAACACATTTTTCTACACATAATGCTGCTTTTCTATATTTTAACTTGGCATTTAGTTTTAGAAAGAGTAATTTGCTTTTCTACCTTTAATTATTACTTATTTCAGTTTTTCCTTAGATGATATGCTCAAATGGTTACTTTTGAAATGAAATGCGATGGTGATAGGGAAAAGAAGCTGAGATATTTTCCATCTCCATCCGATACCTTCTCCGCCTCGAATCCGTTTACACTGCGCTGTTCACCCATTCCGTATCTAATTATATTTGCTCTTGAAAACCACTTGTGGCAGTAATTATCCAGCAGTATGTAATGTTCCTGTCCCATGGTGCTAATGTCAGGCCCCACGCGACACTACCGTAATGACTCAGCTACTAAGTTCAAGGGTCTTCCAATCAATAATGCTGTAGTACAGGCTATAGCTGGTGATATCTCTGTCTGTGTCTGTAGAGTCTAATGCAGGGGTGGCCCACAGGGTAATTGGCAATTAGATACAAAACAGTAGGTGACGGATGTGTGGGATGTGTGCAGATTATGGGTGGAACTATACGTGCAGCTAGGGAGACGTGACGGTGCACATTATGGGCTCAGGAGAATGAGATGAGATTTTAATATTGGAAAATAAGAATCTCAAGTTTTGTGTTTATTTGTTAGTTGTTTTTCGAAATAAGGTTTCTTCAGGGTTGGGCCAAGGTTGTTTTGGGGTTTAACCAGAGCCTGATACAAACATCGCCACCACTATATGCAATTACATACAGATTTGGTGGAATAAATAAACAATAATGGATAATTGTTTTTTTTTTTTTTGTTTTTTTTTTTCTGAGAGGTAATTGAGAACAAACTGAGCACAAGTCGGAATAAACCCCAGGCATCAGATGCTACTATATCACCACACAAAATAAACAATTAATAATAGTTTTTGCACTTTTTAAAAGCAAATATGCAGTTTTCTTTAAATCTTAGATTTATAATTAGATTGACTAACAATTCTTTAATATATGTATAATTAAAACATCAAATAAAATGTAACAGAAGCTAAGAGATCAGGGCCTCTAAGGAGCAGTTAAGTATGGTTATGCCTCAAGCCAGCTCTGGGTTTTCCAAATCATAACATTTATTTTAATGATTACCAAATGTACATATGTCATGGCTCAGAACTCACGACTCAGAATTTGAAGCAGACAGATCAGTGTGATTCAAAAAAACATTTATCGGCGTATGTCGGATCTGCAACTCAGCAACAAAGGCGTCAAAGACCAGAATCTCTGTAGAGGGAAAACTCAGATTAGTGACCACAAAAATCTGATGGAGGGCAAGTAAGAGGGTGTGAGTCACTATCCTGGTTTTAGAGTCCAGTCTGTGTCCAGAAGAAGGAGTAGAATCCAATGGCTAAAAACTGCATGTGGTGTACGCCACCCAGAGAGTTCTGGATGCAAGAGCCTGAAGCCCATTGAACTGGCTGGAAGATCCAAACACACGAAGGAAGGCAGGAGATTTCAGAAGATGAAGCCCAGGCCAGTGTTGAAGAGGTTAACAGGAGTCCATGCCAGAACATCAGAGATCCGAAGAGGTGCTGAGCGGAAATCGAAGACGAGGTCAGAAGACAGATCCAGGTTCAGTCCACTGGCAGAAACCAACAGGAGTCCAGAGACAGATCAGAGCAGACAAATCCAAAACAGGAACAGCACGGCTCAAAGGTCCAAGAGCAGAAGTGGTCAGGATCAGGCAATCACAACAATAGGTACGCTAGAAAACTCAAACAAAAAGGCTGGAACAATCGGGCATCACTGACTGTGAGCCAGCAGATTAAATAAAGGCAGGAGCAGGTGTATACAATGAGCAGTGATTACAAACTGGGCAGAGCAAGATAGGTGAATGGAATAACCCATTAAACCAGTCATCTGTGCCAACATCATGACAACATAAAATATATGAATGATCTAAAGATTTAAGATTTGAATCCATAGTTGTATATCTTTGTCAAATTCGATTTTTGTCTACCACCAATATTGCAAGATACTAGGTACCTAAGATAAAGCCAGTGTGCTGGGAGCTTCTTTGGTGCTAAAATAGTGTTTGGGGTTAGAATATGCTTCGAGAGAAAAAGACCTTTAGATTGAAATTAAATCATCTGCAGCATTTTCATAATGCTAATTTTGTGGCATATGGTATTATAAGACCCAGAAAAATGCATCAGGGTAGCAGACATTTCTGTACAATGTCAAATCTTTCAGATATATATTTCCTGCATTGTGCTAGCTTAGTTTTTTTATACTTCTTATGCCTTCTTGATGACCAGGTAAGTCTTAAGTTTTGACTCTTACTTTGCAGATTGGGGTCTCTGGATTTTTTAAACTCTGACCACAAAATACTAATTGGTCCATCTAGACGTCTACTTAAAGAGTAATATATCTGATGACATAAGAGTTAATAATAAAAAAAAGTATCATTCCATCTTGCGTTGAACTATGATGATTTCAAAAACTGAACAAAGAAAATCAACTGCAGTAAAAATTTTGCAAAAAAAACCTACTCATTTAGACAAATATTAGATTTTACACATTTGTTCAAATGTGATCAGTTTACGATGTGATTTCTTTCTTTCTTTTCTTAGATCATCTCAGCTGCCCAGACGTTGGCCGTTCATCCATCTAGTAAAATTGCAAAAGAAAACCTGGAGGTGTTCTGTGAGGCCTGGGACTCACAGCTCTGTGACATGGCTCTGCTGCTGAAAGAGATCAACGATGTCTTTGAAGGAAGACGAGGTAAGTTTATGATCATCATCAGTTTGAAACCCGACAAATGTGCTGCTTGCTATGTCCTTCAGGCACCAGATACCTGCCTATAAATGGTCTAAATAAATGATTCAATTCTTAAATCTCAACATCTTGATCTATAGTTGATTGAACTTTGTCTATCTTTCTTATCTACTGGTTTTATCCATGGGTTGCACCTTTGACTAAATCTGTTCACTACTACCAATGGCGTTGCAGTTAGATTCTCTCTTTGCTTAAAAGAAAAAAAAAAATATGTCAAAGTCCAGATGAATCATTTTTGCCCTTGAGATCTTTCAGAAATGTTATAGAAAGTTAAAGTATTCTGAGCCGAGTGAACATAGCTTTTCAATATGAATCATCACATGATTCAGTTTAATTCATTTTATTTATACAGTGCCTATTCACAACACAAGTCATCTCAAGGCACTTTACAAAGCCACTTCTATCAAAACACACAGCCAGTTTGGCTGATGCAGGAAGTACTTTGCATCAAAGCTATAACCATTGCCCATAAACCTCCTATCCATTCATCTCTTCTCTGCATATCTATATTTTTTGTTCTGGATTTGATCTGCATCACCTAAACCACACATAAGTTCTAAAGTCAAATCTTTTCTTCTTTATGGTGCTAAAAAGTCTAGTCCACTTTTCTTTGGTTTTTACTTTTTTTTTTTTTTTTTAACAATTACATTTTTTAGATTCTTAAATAAATGTTAATGTCAGTGAAATCTAAAGAAGGTCGAATACTGACGGTCCTTTTGACCCTAAAGCTGCAAATCTATCTAATGCTGTGTTTTGTAGCAGGAGGCACAACTTGCAGAAGTGTAGTATTTTACTCATCAATCCGTTTTTTTCCCCAAACATTGTTCTTCATTATGCTTTTTAAGTATTATTATTGTTGAATTTTCTTTTTTATTATTCATATTTTTGTTGAAAGTGTTTTTATTTGTTTTGTAACAAAAACAAAGTTATTTAACTTGAGCTTTACTGAGCCACATAAGGCCTGCAGTGCTTCACCGCCATAGGGTTCTGTTTGCACTTCATGGATGAGTCGGCGAAGTGCTGATGGAGGGATGCTCTCTCAATTAAGGATCAAAGCTTTCCTTGTTGTTTTATTGGGTCCAAATTGCTTGGACTCTTCCTCGGCTGATAAATGTTAATGACTTTATTTCTTATCTGTTCTTAAAAGTTTTAAGTAGCGGATATAATGCATATTTAAAAAAAAAACAAAACATTAGCTTACTTCTTGTTGTCTACCAATCTACCCTCTAATAGGGTGGATGGTAATTACATTTAAATGTGGCTTGTAAAATGAAACAAAAATACAATAAATCATAGTTTTCCGTTTAATTTAAACAGGGTAGTTAGATTTTTTTTTTTACAAAGGGCAAGGTTAGTTTGACTGCTATTTTCCTCTTAATAAGAGTCATTATAAATGCTTTCTGGATTTACTGTAATTACTATGTATTTACTGTTTTTTTGTGTTCTGATTATATTTGTTCTCTCTCTTATAATCATTTCTGTAATTGTGTAAAACAAGGGATAAAAAAGAATCTGTATAAGCATCAAAAATACGTCTGTTGCACTGTATAAATATTTTGAAACCTGCACATTAAACTATAGGCACAAGAAGCATGATTATGTTATGCCTTGGAATGTGGTGAGAGTTTTGACATGAATTATGCTATATTATTTGACCTCTGCCCCAGACGTGTCAATGATCATGTCCATCATGAAGCCAGAATTGTGTCTTTAAAGGTTTAATGGATGCTATAAAGATTTTTTTCCTGTTGGTTTTATTACAAAGTTGGCTATAAACTTTATTAAGCTGGATAGAAATATAAAAGATAGTGATAAAAATATATTAGATTTCATCTATATAGTTATATCTGTAAAAGTTCACACACTGCAGTCTTCTGTAAAAATGAGGACATAAGATAACATTATATCTCCTCTTCCAGGTGACAAAAAGCCGTATTTGTCTTTACCAAGACCAGGGGTGTGTATCACACTATCCATCCTCAAAAATGTTACATAGATGCAGTTCTTTGTTGCCTTTTGATACATAATATTTTTTTTTTCGACAGAAACACTCAACTAACTTGAAGAATGCAAAGGCTGCCAAGCTGGATGCAGAGGTAGCACTTACTGCATGCTACAATTAATCACATGATGTCTTCTAGCGTATTTTAGCAGAAGTATTTTCACCACCAGGAGGGCTTTTTCTCATTCTCTTGGAGATGAGTGATGTTTCTTTCATAATATGCAGTGATTTTGCCTTTCTTCATTTTAACAGAGGAAGCCCCAGTGAGTTTATCAGAGGCGATCTAAGTGTCCAAACAAGTGTGAATGTGTTTTTCCAGATCAACCTCCATTACACTGTTTATATCTCTGTTGGTGCAGGAGCAGACGAGCATGGCCAAGCTTGGACTGGAGCTCCGACTGCTCTCGTCTGATGTGGACTCCGAGGTGGATAAATGGGAGGAGCAGGAACATGACATTGTGCGGCAGAGCCAAAGCCTCGCCAGCATGGCATACAACATGTACCTGTTCACAAGGTACCGGAAATTTCACATGTACAGTATGCAGCAGTTCGCACAATTTTTGGGATCTCTAGAAAAGATGTCTGTAAAAAAAAAACTTCTAATGTGGTAGTGCAGTAAATCTGAAAAATCCAGTTCCTTGGTAAAGGTGTTTTTTATTTATTATTATTTTATTTTTTTAGTAGGACAAAGAAAGCATATTTATGAAAGCATTTTATTTTTATAATTAGTGTTACATTAGTTGGTCCAATCTAACAATTGTTAAAAGGGAGATTAGCTTGGACACTTTTTATCAAATGTATGCTTGTTTCTGTTAAAGTAATCAGAGTGTATTGACATCATTGCTTTCAGTGCTTTTTACCATAATCAGGGGCGGATTTAGGAAATTTGTGGCCCTAGGCAAAGACAGTCAGGGGGCCCTCTGAATAAAGAAGACAACACATAAAACAGAAAATTTATACAGATACAGAAATTTTAATAGAATCGACATACATTATTTGTTCTATGTTTTCTCCCTCTCTTCTTGTCTCTTTTCTTGTTTTCCTCTCTATGTTTTGTACTCAGCTGACTTTTCATGCTGTCTCAAAAGGATTTTTTCCAAGCAATAAGCTCACTTATCTAATTGCTCCTTCCTGTGTATCCAAAAAGGCAATGGTAAAAGTAAAAAAAACATCCCTTCTTTTCACTGTAGACAAAACACAATCTGCTTATCTGTTCTCCATTTTTCATTAGTATAAAATAATAGCTGCATGAATCATGGCAGCAGACAAGAGAGAGGAGAGCAGGAGGCGGGATTACCAATCTACTTGTTCTGGAGAGCAGTTAAGACACACTTAATATTATAGGCATTCTGATGGCATTTTACTGACAGGATTTTTATCAAAAACATCATTAATGTGCACAAATAAGGAATAGTTGTATTAACCATACATATAAAAAGAGCTTTTTTGGGGCCCCCAGGAACTTTGGGCCCTAGACGACTGCCTAGAATTGCCTAATGGTAAATCTCCCCCATTTCAAAATCACTATTTTAAAAATATGATAGTATTAAGTCTTGTTTATTGACTAGGTTGACAGAGATTTGTCGAGGATGCTGCACACTATCTGGTGCACAGCGTCAGAGGGCATGAAGCTACAGGACACTGATTTCCGTCCAGGAAAAAAAAAACAGCACATCAAAAGCCAACCATGCATTTTAAAGACATTTCAGGACTCCTTTCGATAATATCCTTTATTCCTCACATTAAGACCCATGTAATGACATACTTAAATCCACCAGCATAGATAGGAAACAGTAGCTATTTTCATATGAGCAAAATTTCCCTGGTCTGATCTTAACCTTCGTTGATTGAAATTCAAAATCTCTTTTTACGTGGACACTAAATAAAATTATCCGATCAGATTAGATTATTTAAGCAAGTGCAGAACTGTCTAATTTCCATAAAAGCTTAAGTAGTAGATGAAGAAACTGACTGTTTTTAAAACAAACCTGTGCTTGTCCATTCATCCTCAAGTTTAGCTCCTCTTTGTGCCTTCACCTCACATTCCATTTTCTTCACTTCTTCAGTCATGTCTGTTGATGTATTTCTTTTCCATTATGGAGCTTTGTTGCATCTTTGTATCCATACTTTGTTTTTGGTGGTCCTTTTAGACCACCAAAAACATTTCCCCCTGTAGCTCCTCTACAGTGTTAGAGGGCAGGATGGCATGGTCATCCCCACATTATCTTTAGTGTCATCCCCTCCAGTGAATGAAGGTTAGGAGCAAAGAGGAAAAACCAAGCTGAAGTTGCACACGTGCACAGTGGACATTATTTTACTACAAAGATCCTAATAGGGGTGTATGTGGACGGCAGTTGGAAAAAACTCCTCTTTCTTTCACAAATTTCATATATTTCCGATCTTTCCGAATCGGATTAGGATCAGGCCTTAATTTGAATATTGTTTCCATATGAATTTAGCTACGGTGGTCATAGCTTTAGGCTTATTTGACCTTTGGCAGAGATGGAGAATCTGGAGTCAACAAGTCAGTTCTATGTCATGTTTTTGTTCTACCCAGCCACTGAACCTGGTGAGTTCAATTTACATAGATAAACCAGATTGGAATCACCTGGCTCAGTGGCTGGGTAGAACATAAACATGACATAGAAATGACTTGCTGACTCCAGATCCCCCATCTCTGGATTGAGGCACATTCTTCCTAAAAGTTCTTCTATTTGTGTTTAAAACAAATATTTATTGACTTTTGACATATTTCCATGTTGAGACTATCTGTTAACACACAAAAACATAATTTTCTGTTAATATAATGATATTACAGCAGGAGCTGAATCCATTCTAATCTATTGTTTAAATATATTATTCATATATTTTTGGTGGAAATCAAGAAGGGTGGGGCTGTATCTGGAGTTTGCTGAGCAGGTTCTATCATTTCCAAGCTGTACATTGTAAAAACTCCTCTAAGCAGTCACATGAATCTCTTTAGAGGCTTAGTGTTAATGAGATTCTCAAGCCCCAAGGTATCAATATTTACAAAGAATACATTGAGGATTGGAAAATGTTCGCACATTATTAGCAATGTAGTGATTTGTTTACACTTTTTGTTGATGTCACTGAATGCAGTTTGCCCTTGTCCGTCTTCCTGATCAATGTTATTATTTTCATTAATGGTTCCCCAGAGGGGAGGGGCTGTTGAAGACAACACTGGATCTTTTTCATCAAGCTGAGGTAATAACATCCACATCCTCTAATCTCCCCCAGCTCCCCTCTCTTTCCTATTTTCGTATTTCACCCCCCCTCAATTTATTGAAGTTTTAGATGAATGCATGTGTTGTTCCACCAAACTAAAAACAAAGATCAATAGGTCAGCAGACGCATAGCTTTTTATCCATTAACCCTTTCTCAGATCTGTCAGCAGATGACAAAACGATATCAGTGTTGCTGGAAATGTGATGGAGAAGCTTCCTGGTTGTGTCGGATAGACGGGATACAGCTCTGTGAGGGGCTGTATGATATTGAGCTTAGATCATCCCCTGTAACGTAGAGTCATTTGTAAAAATAACAGGGCAATATATCACATGGGATTAATTCAGTTTGGAATGAAAAAAACATTACAAAAAGGAAAAATGAGGAAGGAAAGGAATGCATACAGATAAGAAAAACGAATCTGTTTAAAATGCAGCAAATGGTGCTAATATTGAAAAAGTTTTTTGGGGAAAAGTACATAAATTTATTATTTTCTTCCATGTTTTTAACTTATTTTTAAGGTTCTGTCTGAAGAGGGGCTTCAGCTTTGTTCATCTCTTCGCACATTTTCCTCTCAGGTAAATATGAGTTCATATTTTCCACTTGATCCTTAGGCACACTATTAAATGGTAATTATTAGCTATCATCTAATTTCTCATCATTTGCTCTATAAAATAATATTTTTCTTAAATAGATGTACATTATTTTCACTATATCTATCTATAAAACTTAAATTAAGTACTATATATTATAGTATATTAAAGAAACTCAGCACTTTTCACATTTATTGCAGCTTGAAACATCATACCCCTCTTTTTCCTCCTTTATTCAATCAGAAAACAATAAGAATCACTGCTGCCAAAATGAGTCTAAAACCCTTTAAATCAGTTGCAACTAGAACATTTTATTTTTGTAATTTCTGTTTTGTAACTTAAAATATTTAATTACTCTCTTGAGGTGAAACTGGCTAATTTCTACTAACCACTCTACAAAAAGGGATAAAAAAGCATCAAAAGTAGATGTGTTGATCTTCATAAGTTAGGGAGAGGTCAACAGAATGGATGTTAGACAAAACTTACCCTTAACTATGATTAAATTGTTAGTAACAGGTCAAAGGTTTAAAACAGGTTGAGTTAGGCTGCATGACAACCAAGTTTATCTCACCACCATGATGAGTCATTGCAAAGTTAAAAATGTTCCACCCTTTTTCTTGAACTGACATTAGGACTTCAGTGTGTGATTGTGGTACTTTAGTGAAAGATGCATGAATTTAAAGCTTAAATAGAAAACCATATACTTATAGTTTCTAGTTTAAGAATATGTACAAAATTAAATAAGTGAAGTGAAAACATTTCCCGCATTTTGTTGTTTATAGCATAAAATAATTTACTAAGATAGCAGACGACGCAAAATTCCTAATTCGGTCATGAAACCCACTGAGGCGCTGTAGGATGCTGTGAAATCAGTTTAATCACGAAGTAGTCATTTTACATAGCAAGTCAATATTTAATCACCTTTGTGATGGAGTTTTTATCCTTTAATGAGGATGAGTATGAAGCAGTGGTTGCTGGTTTAATCACCAAATGTTCTTTGATCTTACGCAGAGCCGGTGGAGGTTCATTATCTTTCAGAACATTTTCCTTTTGTTTGAAGAGGGGATCACAGGACTCGGATTGGTTCTGTGGTGGCTGGGTTCGGTTTGGTTGGCAGCATGCTGCTGCGGACGAGTGTGAAGGCTGGCGGTCAGTGTTGGAGCCCTGTGTGCGGTGCGGGCGGTTCTGGATAGCAGGCTCTGTTGCGCTTCTGTGCCTGGATAGGGGAGGCGGTCCCAAAGTTATCCGATCGCAGTAAGTGGTCCACGCACCAGATCCTTTCTGCTGTCCGGGTGGGAAACATTGCCATTCGGATGTGGCTGTTATCCGGTTTAGCTCATGGCTCCGAGCCGGTGGGGTTCGAGCTATGGGTCACCACCTGCGGTAACTGACTGTTATCCATCGTGGTTCTTGTTTTTCTGGAGCCTGGACCATAATGATATGGAAATCCGTCTGGAGCTGCGGCTATACTAAACTGTGCAACTAGCTAGGGTTCATTGTTGAAATAATATATAAAAAAAAAAAAAGCTAATACAACGGAGAAAACAATCTGTTGTAAACTTGGTCCAACTGATGCTGCGAGAGCAGGATTGATCGTGAAAAAATCTGCCGTGAAGTGATCTGAACAAAGTTTGCTGTGTAGGCTTGGACGCCACAGATTGTCCAGTTGATTTTTGTCTAACCTATTTACTTTCCAGATCAAAATTTAACACAACATCCCTCAGATAATTAACCATCCCTTTTCCCGATCCAAAGCCTTTCCTACAATTGGCAGCAGTACAATAGACCATTGTAATGACTTTTTAACGATCCTTTCAGAGTGCTTAGAAAACGATGCGTGAAGTAGTGGTTCTTAAAACCGGCATGAGGACGTTTGACTACACTGTCGTCACAGCTGTGTTTCATCACGTGACTGCTCTCACAGGACTCGTAGATCACTAGAAACAGCCAGCATACTGTAAAATTCTCTCAATTTTTATAACTTAGAGCATTTTTAGCCCGATTTAAACCAGCAACATAGAGAAAAGAAAGTATAATCTACCATCACATACAAGTGCTCTAAACGCACTCCTTTCTATTTGAACTTAAAAGATTTTGCACATCTTTAGTGGGAGCGAAAAAGTTATGGATACGTTAGTGCTTAAAAGCTTTGTTTTTTTTCTCAATGCTGATCGTTAAAACAATTGAGGAAACCAGGTCTTAAATACTGGGGTTCATAAAGACTTTCTAAAAATGTTTCTTTTTTTTTTTTTTGACTTCAATTCCAAAACAAAAAGAACAGATAAAAATTGTAACCATGAAAAACTCTAATAATAAAAAGCAGCTGACTAAGTCTCATTCTTATTGAACATATTAAAAAAAGGAACTTCATGAAATATTATTATCAAACACTTATGAAAGAAGGAAGCTTGATAACTTGAAAATACATGATTGTTGTCTGTGCAAGATTGTGCTTCTAACCACTCATAGGTTAGGTAGGGATTTGTTTAGTAATGCTAAGAAGGGCATTAACAGACTTGTGTTAGTGTGGGCTCAATGTAGCCAATCTAAGCTTTAGAGGGCTGGCTTTTAAAGTAATTAAAACAAAACATAATAACAAAAAAATTATATTTAAAATGATCTTCAGCAGGAGCTTAAGATTAGGGTCATGGCAAGGAGACCTTCAAAACATTCAGCTAAAAGCTTGAAGCTCATCAAAAGCAGATAATCAAAATAGCTGCAGAAACATGCAGAAGGCTGATCTGTAATCATAGGAAGGCTCCAGTTCCTTTAATTCCAAATATGACTTTGCTATTTATTACAGAAAATAGTATAAATTTAACATCCCATTTTGTATTTTTCTAAAATGAATATAAAAACTGATTTTTTTTAGATACGTTTTACTAAAAAAAAAAAATAAAATTAATTAACAGATTCATTTATAAATGTTACCTGATTTATTTCTTATTAACAGCAAAAGTTGGTAAAATGAACCTGATTTTATTTTTTAAATCTACCATGGATATGATTTTGGGGCTTAGTTGCATAAAACCTTCATCCTCTCTCATAAGCTGTTTCTTTATCTTTTGATGGCGGTGGAAATCCAAAACAGGTATTACATTTTTCTTTTGGATATTTTAGTTGTAAATTTGTCTTAAACACACACTTTTACCAGCTGAAACTTTTACTGTGAGTATAAGTGTCAAATGTAAGACCCAAACCTTATGAGTCCACTAGACAAAAATTTCAACCTTGAATTTTATCAAACAATGCATTAAAAAAAAAAACAAACAAAAAAAAACTACATAGATTACTCAATTACTCAGATTACACAATAACATATATAGATTACTTATATTATATGCATAGATACTCAGATTACTTACATGCAATGAATGCAGGTGATACTGGGGTGAGTCCAATTTCACTTTACCTTTAAACTTCATTTCAGAAAACAATAGTGAAATTTGTGGAAGCATACTGAAATGTAATACTAAACCTATGTTGAAATGTTTATTCTATTATTTAGCTAAAATAAATATATCCCTGTCAAGCTCTGCAAACATTTATGGTTTTACAAGCAAGAAGTTGACAGAGTGTGTCTTGTTACCAGTGCATTCTAAACAGATAAACGTACAAGCAAACGTCATCCTCATTTCACTAATCACACCAGTAAAAAAACAAAAAAAAAAACAGACTTTGTACTGGCAGCAGCAGAGCAATTACAGCAGAAGATAAATACTGTTGCTTTGAAAAAACACTATTAAAAAACAGCAAAGTATAGGTAATTCTGACTGAGTTTATCCAGATCCATCCAGCAACCCATACTCCAGATTACAGAGATTACTTGATTATATAGATTAAGCAATTACATAGAGTACTCGATCACTTGAATTACTTGATTACTCATAACACTCGATTAATCAGATTACTTGATACTCAAATTACTTGAATACTTCAACACAGGCAAGTGCGTAAAACCCTGTAGTGACATATGTAGCCATACCAGGTGGCAACTTGCTTGTTCATGCTTGATGGCAACTGGCATAGCCACACCTAGTGAGAACTGTTGTGGGAACCTGCGTGGCCACACTTGGTGGCAACTGACACTACCACATCTATTGGCAGCCATCCTTGCCATACCTGGTTGCAACTGGTGTCGCTTCACCTTATGGGGAACAGCGCGACAACACCTGGTGGTGCCTGGCATCTACACACTTGGTGGCAACTGTCATTGCTACACCTAGTGGAGACTGGTGTTATGATAAAGATCCCTATGCTGCAATAAATTGCTGAGTGTATTGTTAAGGCTTTTATTTTGTAGAGTATATTGTGTGTTATTTAGAAAGTCTAGCAATGCTCTGTCTTTAGCATAAATTAAAAGACTAAGGAGTCATATGGAATCCATTTGCAATTGTTTAGTCACCCCTTTTCCTTTTTTACTGTGTCTATTCTATTCCAAGATACTCCAGTATAGTTGTCCAGTTTAAACACACAGAGAACAGGTTCTTTTTAACAGGGTGATCCGTTTCCTTCCTCTCACACCAACATCACCCAGTCTGGCATGGCTGCTTATTGGGTCTGCCTTATAAATCACACCTCAAGAGCAGGAAATTAAGGCTGCCACGCACCTCTTCTCCTCCCAAGAGCAGATATCCCACAACAAACACAACCTCTGTGGCTTCCTTCCTCTCCCCGTCGACCAACTCCTTCCCAAAGTCCACCGAGTGGATTTAAGTGGCTCTTTTAGGCAGCTTTTAAAGACTGTCATTTGTCACATGTGGCTGTGTATGGATGTGTATGTGTGGATGTGAGGAGGGCATGTGTTTGACTCTGGACTAAATCTCAATCAGGGAGCCCACCTCTTGAAGCCATCTGGCGATTTCTGAAAAATGACATGAAGCAAAGTGTTACTGATGGAAGCTTCAGCACTTTGTTACTTCTTCTCAAGCCAAACTGGCAGGTGCTTTTGTCAGTAAAAAAGACTAAAGTTTGCGGGTCAATGCAAGCATGTTAGTGAAGTAGTTCTATGGTCTCTGTGACAGACATCTAAGAATGAATCCATTAAACTGTCTAAAAGAGGAACAGATTAGAGGAATGATTTTTGATTTTCTGTTTTTTCTTTTAATCCTTTTCATAATATGTTTTTTTTTCTAGAAAGAGCACAGTCATTTCAGACATTAACCTTATTTTCCTGTAGAGAATCATTATAGCTCTGAAAGCCAGCACCCATCCTTCCTCTGTCTCCTTCATTGATTCCCTTACACGTCTTTGTCTCCTTCTCGCTCTTCCAGCTGGTTGATGAGGAAAAGTCTGTGGTGATCATAGAAATGGAGAAATTGGTGACACTTTGCCAACAGCTGCAGATGGGGGCCAAAACTCCGGTACAGGGCAAGACTGCCACCTTCCAGAAGGTAACCCATATTACACCTGTAGTTAATTTCATTTTTGCTGTCGTTTTTTACTTTTATGTTTGAACAGTTCGTACAACATTTAGTCTGACTGGACTGCCATTAGGAGAAACATCTAATTTTGAGAGTTATTTACAGCAATGTAGAATTCTATTACACAGTAGAAATGAAGTGTTAAAATGAATTGCATTTAAAAAGTAGTTAATTTCTGATTTAAAGGACATTTTGATTTACTTTATAAATATCTAATTTACTCCAGTTGACAAACGAGGCCTGTAAGTTACAGCATAATGAAGCCTATATGAATAGAAAATATAAGAAACTAGATGATATAACCACACAGTTAACTAATTTCTGTGTAAACATTTAATTAAAACTTTGTTTCCAGTTTTAAATCAAATTCGTATATAAACTGTTACAGTTTTTATTTATGTATTATACATTTATAATACTACAATTTAGCATTAATTATTCTATAATTTTGAGGTAACACAAATACAGTTTTTAATTACAATACTATGTATAGAATTTAATAACTGATTTAGAGCTATATATCACATTTTAAGGTACTGTTTCCAATAATATCTGCAAATACTAATATTTGAACTTTATTGATCTCACACTGGAGAAATTTACCTCGGCATTTAACCCATCCCCTTGGGGAGCAGTGGGCTGCCACCGTGCGGCGCCCAGGGAGCAGTGTGGGACTAAGGGTCTTGCTCAGGGACCTAGAGTGCAGGCTGCTGGGGATCGAACAAGGTACTTGCAACATTCTCAGTGAACAAGCACGCAGCTTTAACAACTAGGCCATCATTTTCCCCGTACAAATACTTTCAAACAAAAGTATTAAGTCTACCCTGTATTCCTCCTATTCAAGAGGGGAGGGGAGGCGAGGGGAGGCCTAGTGGTTAGGGCATAGAGCTTGGAATCCTGAGATTCTGAGTTCGAGCTCCACTCCCTCAGACTGCCAGTCTGGGTCTCTGAGCAAAACCCTTAACCCCACACTGCTCCCCATGGGGTTGGGTTAAATGCAGAGGTACATTTCTCCAAAGTGAGATCAATTAAGTATTATTATTATTGACACAGATGAACATTATCAAACAGATATAAACCTAAAGCTATATGCTGCTTGCAGGTCATCATTGGTTTTTTTTTATTCTTTTTATTTTGTATTTAAAACAGTAACCTTGAATCTTGTAGATGTTTATGTAATGATGACCATGTTTTGATTTTGCAAAAAGGTGACATTTGACCTGCCTACAGTTTAAAATTCATGACACGGCTCTCCTCATAGTGTAGGTTGGCAAACCCAGGTCAGCTTCATTTGCCAGTTCCTTTTTGCTGTGCCTTCCATGAAAATAGACTCAATCCGTACGACTGACCACCACAGAGTGGAAGAGGGCATTGACTGGATATCAGGCAGAGAGAAAACAAGCAGAAGATTGAGTGTGTTCAAATGAGGGATCAGTGTGATTCACCTCTTTCTTTTCACTTTTGAGGAGGGTCGGAGTACCTTAGACAGAGGCTGTTGCATTATAAATATTACAAAAAACTTTATATCTAGACAAGCTTTTAAAAGAGTTTTAAAATCCAATGTCCATAAAAGTTCAGTATTTTTCTACATTTTTTTTGTCCTTGCTATATCTGTCTTTACTGCCAGGACACTGGTGTGAAAGTACAAAGGCTATCATAGGTTGAGATGCACAATAATGACCAAGACTAAAAATGGATAAACATCCCTCATTGGGTTTGTGTCAGTCTGAACTATATGGGGCCAAGAAGAGAATTTAATAGTAGAAAATTATTTGTTAAAATAACTATTGGCAGTACAGATGCAATAATAAGGTATTAATGTGCTCAGCACTGCTTAAAATACAATTTTTTGTTTACTTTATACATAATATTGAATATTATAAAACTGTTTAACCTTTCAGAAACTAAATTAAATGGAAGCGAAAAATGCTGCCATTGCTGCAGATATTGTTTGAATATAACATATAATCATGGCGCATGATATATTTTCTTTAACAATAATTTTTTCATATGGTAAAGTAAAGAGGAAATTTCGAAGAGGATTATCTAAATTGCATCAAGCAAAGACTTGGGAAAACATTAACTGCCTTTAATTTCTGATTCTGTGATGTATATTTCTCTTTCTTTATCTGTAGGTGGACTCATCGATTCAGACAACCAGAAACATCATGACGGTGATCCTCTCCCTTCTCCCTATTACTAACAAGCTAAATAAAAAGGTAACATCCACATCCCTCCCTAAATAACTGGATTGAATGAGTTGGTTGAATTTCCACACATTTCCCTAAGTTGAAAGAGAGAATTCAGGCTCATTCTCTTCAAAAAGAAGTATTTTGGTCCATTTATGTTTTTACTGTTCTGAAAATTCCTTTATCTGTACTTCCAATAAAAAATTTCCCTCACCTCATAATCACTCACTTTTTTCAGATTCTTGTGAGTAGTATTTCTGCAGATTGCCACATCTAAAAGAGAAAGGTCCCTTGATGGGCTTAAACCATCACTCCTTCAGTTAACAGACAAATACACTGAACATATGACACACACAAAGACCGGATCTGCCTCTAGTACTTATTGCATTAAAATTAGAAAGTTCTGATGTTTAAATTTTTCAGGTTTCAGCTTTTTCCAAGATAGTGACACTTTTCCTTTGAAAAAAAAACAGCCTTAAGGACAAAAGTCCCTGGGTGGGCTTGAACCACCAACCTTTCGGTTAACAGCCAAATCCACTGACATAACTACGGTACTAATAATTGTGTCAAAATGAAAGTTCTGAACATTTTTCAAGCTTCAGTTTTTTCCAGATTTCAGCTTTTCCATGATAGTAACACATTTCCATTAAAACAACAGAGTTTCAGTGTAAATGTAGCTCACAAAGTACTTTATTTATGCTACTTTCTAAGCAGTTGGTAGAGTATTTTACTCTTGGTCAAATATTTCCAAGATTTTAAGAGGAGAAGACATCGAATCTATGCAGCAACAAAAACCTTTCTGGATTGGAAGTAAAACATCTTCAAACTTGGAAAACAAGTCCAGTGGATTGGTTTTGGAACCTAGAATCTAAAGACAAACATCCCTGGGTGGGCTTGAACCACCAACCTTTCGGTTAACAACCGAACGCGCTGACCTATTGCGCCACAGAGACAAGGGCGACACTTCTTTGCAAGACACACAGCAAGACAGCACACCTGCGCAGAATAAAAATTGTGTCAAAATGAGAGTTCTGAACTCTACATTTTTCAGCCCTCAGCTTTTTCCATGATAGTGACACTTTTCCTTAGAAGAGTGACACTTTTTCTTACAAAAACTAAGTTTCAGTGTAAATGTTGTTCAAAAAGTATTTTATTATACTTTCCAGATACTGTAGTTGGAAGGGTATTTTCATCTTGTTCAGATATTTCCAAGATTTTAAGAGGAGAAGACATTAAATCTATGCCACAACATGGAAAAGCAAGGTTTTTAATAAGCTGTGCATCATGTAATGCTTAGAAGAGCTTTACAATGCAGGACTTAATATGGAGTATATCAAAGACAGGGAAAAAGAAGGTGCACTAATAAACCTAAAGGTTTATGCTACTTTCCACACTGTTGGGAGGGTATTTTACACATGGTCAGCTATTTCCAAGATTTTAAGAGAAAACATTATATCTATGCCACAACATGGAAAAGCAAGGTTATTCTACAGAGCTCTGCACAATGTAATGCTGAGAAGAGTTTTACAATACAAAACTTAATATAGAGTACATCAAATGCATGTGAAATAATGGTCTACCAATGCCTTGTTAAGCCTTAAAGACAAAGAAGAGTTTTACAATGCAACACTTAAAATGGATCACATCAAAGACACGTGAAATAATGGTTCACCAATGCCTCATTAAGCCTCGTTAGCCACCCGCTGTCATTTCAACTCCCACTCCCATGCAGGGGACAAAACATCTTGCCTGGGCTGTCAAGCCAACAATTGCACCTAACAACCCCCATTTCAGAGGCATAGCCAAGTATCGGGTATTTCGGGCTAACAAAGTACCCAAAACGATTCCCCATTCTAGGCAGCAGACCCATTCTTCTCGTTCAATTTACACGTTTTCTAAGCCAAAACAAGTTTTTGGGGTCCTTCGAAGTCAACACTAATTCTGACAATTTGAAAAACCTTTCTGGAGTGTAAGCAAAACATCTTCAAACTTGGAAAGCAGGTCGGGTGGATTGGTTTTGGAATGACTAAGACCCAGAATCTTCACCAGCATAAAAAAAAAACGTCCCTGGGTGGGCTTGAACCACCAACCTTTCGGTTAACAGCCGAACGCGCTGACCTATTGCGCCACAGAGACGATGAAAATGTGTCAGCAAGGACCCAAATAATACAGACTGCTGACGTCGCTCTGCTGCATCCACGCTCAGAATGCTTTTTCGTTTTCGAGTTATGGACAGTACTTTGCTGGCAGACCATGAAAACAAAAAAAGCAATGTCCGCTGTGTTTTCTCTTTGATTATGGCATACAATGTGCAGTCTTAAGGAAGAAAATGCAAATAGGATGATTTATTACTAATTTTATTTATGGTTCAAACAATGCAGCCAAATTCTCAAAACCAGATTTTTTAGCCACAGTTCTACTCAGGAAGTATATTCAGAATGCCTTCAACATCTATAAATATGTTTGATTGAAAGGATTTGATAGAAATCAGTTTTATTTTAGCTCTTTATCAACCAAATACCTTTTGCTATGTTAGTATGAGATGCTTGATATAGGTCCTAATGTTCCCCAGAAACAAAGTCTGAGAAAAACTTAAAAAGCTAACAATAAAACCACAATCTGAAAACTTGGTTTGTCTTTCTAACTCTTTTTTTGTCTTGCTGAATTTACAGCACAAGTCAGAGAGGACGAGCCTAAGTTCCCTGCCGGACTGGGCAGAACGACAGGATTCATCCACACCAGTCAAAGAGGATGGAGCTCTAAGCAGCAAAAATACAAACGGCTTTGGAGTCAAATCCCTGGAGCAGCACATGGCCAGCCTCAACCTCCTGGAGAGCAAATAAGCCAGGAGACCGTCTGCGTGTTTGTTTTTCCCACTGTTGTCACAGCAACACATAGTCAAGCTTAAATCTGTGAAATTATCCCATCATTCCCTTCAATCACCACAGGGTGGACTTGAAATTTGGGGCAAATATGGCTGACTTGGGTCAGACAGAGGTCATATTTGACTTGCGGGGAGGGGAAGACGAAATATACACCATGTCCAATCAAATGGATTTATTCCACATTTAATTGAACAACTAGATGTTTCAAAGTTGATAATAGGACAATCAGCCAACAGGATGAGTCTTCAAATAAAACACTCAGATTTGATGATTAAGGGTTTCTACAGAAGTATATCAAAATTCTATGTTTCCAGACAAAATTTTTAATTACTTTCAAGATCTTTTCTAAAATCCTTGAGATTTACAGAAAAAAAAAAAAAGTTTTGTCTTTGATTTTTCAGTTCCCAAAATGATGAAACACCACAATTTCACAATTTAGAAACTGGCCATCAGTTGTCTTTGTGATATATGGCCATCTAATATTTTTGGGGCATCTGGATTGTATCACAACTCATCTTCAAAACCTTGTCAAGTACAGGCTGAAGTCTCCTACTGTACCTAAAGTAGAGAATGTTAAGCAAAATTTCTGTATTTTAGTACAATTATTCTTGTTTTCTGTGCTTTTTAAGACTAAAGATAATTATGGTCCTTTATTTTTTCACAACTGTGCATTCAGTCAGTAAGTGAAAAAACGAAACACAAATGGCTAAAATAACAAAATCAATGGGTTTTCAGTCAATTTAAAGATTAAGCTTGCCATTAGAATAAACTGATGCACAAACCACATTATGCAGCATTGCTTATTTATTTTCCTCAAATATCCTTATGAGGGTGAAAATAACCAAAAAAACTGAATATTTCCATTGTGATGTTGCTTTTTATCCATGCTTATCACAACAACCCCAAAACAAGGCTTAAAGCAGACTTAATACTGGTCCAGGTTGTGTTGGAGCCCCATTCTAGTTTGGAGAGAATGTCACTAGTTTCATTGCTCTGCTACGTGCCTGTTTGCCCCGAGCCCATTTGTTTTGTGGTGTACTGTAAATGTGTCTCAACAAGTGCGATTGTAACATGTGTACCCGCCATAATCTCACTTGGACATGTATTTTCTAAGTAGATAGATTGGATTAAAATCAGTATATTTGCCATAGCATTTTACTATAGAACATTTACTATGTGTCATGTTAATGTGGGGGGGGAGTTTTCATGCGAAATGACTGAAACACTTTTTCAGCATCATAAGCAGATTTTTTTACATCAGAATGACAAAAAAAAAAATGCAGTTGTGCATTCCTGCTGCTGACAAATCAGAATCTTATTTTAAAGCATGCCGAGTAAAACCAAATCATCTGCTGTTCGAACAGAACCTTTAAATGTATTTGTTATTCAGTGTGAAGCATCCAAACATGCCACTATGAATTAAAGGGTATGATGAGATGTATATTGTGGTACATAGAGCGTATGATATACTATGGAGCTAAAGATAGTAACTTTGACACTGGGTGAGCAGGAGATAATGACTGAAATCTATAAAGCAAAGTAAGCTTTAGGAAATTATTGTATGTATCTTGTGAGAAAAGCTATCAAAGATTCAAAATAGGTTTAAAAATACATCTAGTTTTGGACCATCTAATTTTTGATGACTGAAAGGTTGATAAAAGGTTGAGAAAATAAATAAAAATATTTTTCATAAATCTCAGTTTGATTTTTTTCTTATCAAACAAATTTTTATCATCTGCAAATAATGTATAGTACTTCACAAAAAAAATACTTCATTCTTTCTTCTTTTATAATAACATACATTCTAAATTAGAGCTTTCTGAAGCTTGGGACATAAAACAAAAAAACTCTGGAGTCTTTGTAATTGGGAGAAAAACTGAAGGCAAAGTGCTTCTTTAGCAAAAGCTTCTCCTCAGGAGGTGGATTCAGTCCATTTTCTCAGTCTTTGTCTTGAACCAACTGGGAGAATGAAGGTGGGAAACATACTTAAAGAAAAAAAACTAAATCTCTCCCAGAAAATTTTAGTCTTAGATGCCCTATGAGGAGGGTTGTGACACACTGCGTTTGGAGACGACGCCCTCAAACTCTTCTCTCGTCAAGAGGTGTTCGGTGATGCTCTTGCTTTCCTCAAACTTTGGAAGGATGACGGCGATGTATCCTTCTGTGGACGGCTGTTCAAGAGATCAAGAACAGAATGCAAAAGCATTTCCTTAAGTTGGTCTTGTAAAGTCAGATAATTGTTATGTTGGGGAAAAAAAACCATGACTAATTACCAGAACCACTAGCAGTATAAACTATAATCGTATATCTTAATCTCATGCAATGTAATGTTATTTATAGTCTGGAGGGAAAAGGAATCTACCTTTTCTATCAAGAGGTTTGGCGTTTCCAAAATGTTCTCATTAACCTCCAGAAGCCGTCCCCTTATGCAACTGGAACAACAATAAAAATATAATTAAAAAATATATATATATAATTAAAAATATTATAAGAGAACCAAACAATAAATGTTTACTGAAGGGAAAACCTTACCTATATATTGTGTACTCTGTCTCATCTGAGCATGTTATTCTGCACAACGGTGCAAAGTCTGTAACAAACTGTGCCCCCTATTAAAAGAAAAATGGAACAATGTATTCCAGGGAATCATGGTAATAAAATTGTTGCTGTGCACATTAATCGAAAGACATCAGAAGCTTAATAACTTTACCCGTTTAGACTTTCCAGACACTTTATTCTTCAAGCGACTGCAGCCATTACTGATCTGGTAATTGATGCTCTTGATAGTGCGTCCTTCTTGAAGGATTGGGTGGGTCTCAGCTAAGGTAACAACACACAACCTGCAACAGGAAAAGTTCATTTTTAAGTATCTAGCAAACAATGTACCTATAGCCAGATATTTTTTTTCTGTGTAAAACTACTAAAGCAGAAAACAAATGAATAATTACTGGCAAAAGCTAGATTTTTTTTATGTCATTTCTGATTAAAAAAATAATAATAATAATTTAAAGACTTTAGAAAATAGAGGGAAAACAGATGCATTTATTTTATGCAGGTCATAAACAGTGCCTTCGAAAACAATTAGCACAATTTAAACATTTTGTTCTGCAAATCCAAAATTATAATTTCTTGAATACTCATGAGCCAGGTCAACACAAAGGTACTGCATAAATGCAAAGTGGAAAGAAAATGGGCAGAGATTTGTTTGGGGTAGGTATCTACTACAGTATCTTGACAAATCTAGGGGTAATTTCTCCCAACTCTCAGAACTCTTAAATATTTTTCCTATAAATATTCCCTAAGTTTCCAGACTCAACATTCCAGAGTTGACAGTCCTTAGAAAATGTAATATTAAACAACCTTCACTTAGTTTTCATGAGACTTATTGTAGACAGGCTATAAATGTGGAACCTACAGGAAGAGGGAAAGGAAGACTAGTAGGAAAGTAAGGTAAACACAAGATGAGCGAAGGAAATCGGAAAAAGGAGGCAGGAGACAAGGGTGGAAATAAGAAAGAAAGAAAACAAGGCCATGCAAAAAAAAAAAAGAAATTTGAATGAAAGAAAGGTAAAGTGTACAACATATAGGATGGAGGAAGGAAGATACAAATAAAGAAAGAATATGATGAAAATAAAAAAGGAACCACAACTAAGTAAGGACATAGACAAAGTAAGTCAAAGACATAGGAATTAGGTCTAGAAATGCACTTTTTCTTCTTTTTTTAAGGCAATGAATGCAAATGCAAACACTGGAAAATACTAAATCTAATTAAACATCGTTTCAGGAAATGCAAGACTCATTGCAAAACAATGCTCAGTCAGACTGAATAGAAATTGTCAGGAATCGCGTGCCATATTTCAAATGCACTTTAATTTAGGTTTCGTCTTCTAATTGGCCAATTCAAAACTTTCATCTAAACCACTGCATTTAAATCATGGTTAAAGAGTAACCCCAACAACTCCCCCAGTCTCTAGTCTTTT